TTATTTCCTTGAACAGTGAGATTAATTGGCTGTTACAGAAATGATAAAAAATATAATTTCAAGATACCATACTCCTAGGAAGTCTATGAAATTCAATAATATTGTTCAGGGACTTTTCAAGCCCTTGCTCCCTCATTCATTTTCATCCTTCTTCAAATTTCATGGGAAATTCTTAGGGCACTCAATTCCAAACAGAGTTGTGTAACAGATTTCAAATTCAATAAAGGTCTATTTCCCTGTGATTTAAATGGGGAGTAAGTTTCTGAACAGATATGCACACAGTTCTTTTGCCACAGCGTGGAACTTCTAACGATGGATAAAGTTGGGCAAACCATAAACAGACTCTCTACCATATGCTATCGTTTTCTTTAATTACAGTCCTATTTGGTTTCTTAATGAAGTAAAAATAAAATCCAATATATAAATGTTATGACATTTAGGGAGATCTAATTCATGTTCTCAAACTGTGATTGATTTTCCTTGATGAAGAATTAAAGTGGGTAAGGTCTTTAAAACCAAATGTATCCAGAGCCTCTGAACATATCACTTTCCAAATAATTGTATTTTCTTTTTCTCCAAAGCCACTCAAGTATGGCATTTTATAGTTCCTGTGAGGCCATCTTTCTGAGCACAGGTATCTTTGTGGAAATTTGATCAGTGTAATTTATCATGCACCTGAACTTGAAAGAGAGCCAGCCAAACCCCACTTCCACTCTGAAAGCAACAACGCTGATTCTCATTTACCTTGGGAATATTTTTCCATCATCTTACTGTGTTCATATTTGGTATATGAGTTAGCTGATGGAAAGTGGACCTGATAATAATACATAAAAACACCTTTAGTGAAACCTAAAATTTGAGACATATATTGTATAACTTTAAATAATGATTGTGTCTACTTTAGTCACATAGAAGAGGGTACATATGAATGGGTAGGGCCAGATGAGAGAACAGGACTCTCTAGTGAACTTCAACTCCATCATCAATTTGCACAACTATCCAAGGTACTTCTGTAGAAGCCAAGAAACCGGGAAAGAGATGGCAATGCTTGAATATGCTACAGAAGAAGCATGATGGCCCTCATAGGCTCATAGATTTGAATACTTAGTCACCAAGGAGTGGCATTATTTGAAAGAATTAAGAAGTGTGGCCTTGTTGGAGTGCTGGAATCCATGTGACTTCTTCAGGGGACAAGGCCTGAGAACAGCACAAACAAATTCTTCTTTTGGCAAGGCCCTGGAGAATATGACCCATTTTGGCAAGGCCAATAGATTGTTCTCTGCATAATTCTGGGCATGACCCAGGACCATATGTGCTACCTGCCCTTCTTGTTTTCCTTATACAAATCATATTGCTGGCTGCCTCTAGTTTCACTTTCTCAGAGCTATGGATAAGATGGCTATTACATAAGGAAAACTTCCCCCTGATGACTCTCCTCTGGGTGAGCCAGAGGGGATATTGTTAAAAATATACAGTGGACCTGATTCAGCTCCTAAAGCCCTTGATGTTTCAAGAGTGACCATGAATTCAGGCTTCTCAAGAACAGGATGTTGCCTTTCTAACACACCCTGTGACTAGCTTGAAAGAGTCACAGTAGTTCATGACATTTCATATTTGCATAACTGTTCTGGAGAGAATGATTTTAACCATAAGAATCTAGGAGAAATGCTAATAAATAGATGATATCAAGAGTTGATGGGAACAGTCTAGGAACAGGGAATGAAGCAGAATCCTAAAAATGCTCTCATTTCTAATAGCTGTGCCAGCACTGGAGGAAGTTGAGAGGGAAGAGACATGAGAACAAGGGATAAGCAGTGTCAACTATTAAGAGTAAGTTTTCAAGTTAGATTGCCTATAGGATAAATGGAAAAACCTAGAAGAGATAGACTAGTACAGAATGTAGAATGAATTGATCCAGCTTCGACTGGTGAGTTGATTATGAGAACTCAGACCCTACCAGATGTACATATTAACCACTAGAGACAAAAGTCTCTTTCACTTTGCAAGCCACTGTAATTGCAAATGCTGCCAACTGGGCACACTGTTCTACCTGTAGGTGTGCCTAGTTAGAAAACTTCCCAGGCCCTTTGGGGAGCTGGGGACTTTCCAATAGCTAACCAACCTCCTCCTTAAACAATAGAAATAGTCTGTTATGCATCTTTAGTTCTCTAAAAACATTATGGCTGCTCTTAACAATAGAAAGAACAAATTAATCTGATTGGTTGGACTGAAAAGTTTGCATTCTGTGTCAGTTGCCAATGATAGGACACATAGGGAAAGCCCCTAATCTTTGGATCCTGATGGGTGGAAAAATCTAACTATGACTTGGCACAGATGTTTGTGGGGTTTGTGTTTAAATACTTGCTGCAATGAACATTGGGGATGTAGTCAGCTCCCAAGTCTGTGCTGTGGTCTGTCTTTTTTATTTAATTTTTTTCTTCAATTCAATAAAATTTTGCTTTGCATGGAAAAAAAAGAAAACTTCCTTTGTCATGTGCAACACTGCTTCTGCTTCTAACATTAGAGCTATAGATCAAGTGGGTAATGGTTACCAGTGGGAAAGTTGGGGGACGGAAGGGGAATGAGGTAAAGGAACAAACTGGCAATTATTGTAACCATTATTAGAAACATGAGGAAACAAATTTGATTGTAAAACTGTTCATGCAAACTATTGAAACTGTATAAATAAAAATGGCCCAGGCTATCCGGGGCCACTTGTTTGAAACAGGTGGTCATAGTCTCTTCGATGCACTGACTTCAAACATTCATCCCAGGTTATCAGACCCTTTCAGAATTAGGATTCCTGCATTGGAGGAAGTGTGTCACTGGGCTGGGGGGGGGGGGGGGGGGGGGGGCTTTGAGGTTTCAAAAAAGCTCGTTCCAAACTGAGAGTCACTCTCTTCCTGCTGCCTGAAGATCCAGATGTAGAACTCTGAGCTACTTCTCCAGCACCACATCTGCCTGCATGATGCCATGTTCCCCAACATGATGATAATAGGCTAAACCTCTGAAACTGTAAGCAAGCCCCAATTAAATGCTTTCTTTCATAAAAATTGCCATGGTCATGGTATGGTGATACTTTATTTGTATTAAAATGTTATTTGTAGGTTAATAAATAAAGTTGCCTGGGGGTCAGAGCTATTAGCAAGCCATAGGAAAGCAGGGCAGTGGTGGTGTACTCTTGTAATCTCAGCACTTGGTAGGCAGAGCTGGGTAAGTCTCTGTGTGTTCAGGGATACAGCCATTATTGGATACACATGCCTTTAATCAATACCAATCATGGAAAACCTGGAGGCCTATACAGACAGGCCGTGAGGAGGCGGTCATGTGGTTGGGTTTACAACCAATGAGAAGGCAGAACAGGAACTCTATATAAAGACTTTAACACAGGGGTAGCTCTGGTTCGGAGAGGTAGGACCACCGCAGGAGGAAGGGTAAGGTTTTAGCTCTTAGCTCTGACCTCTTGGCTTTCTTCTTTGCATTGGTTCTGTGTTTCTTATTTAATAAGAAGGTTGGTTACATCTACATCATGGTGTCTCATCGCTTCAATAGAACAGTGACCAAGACAATCAGTGTATGAAGAGGGTAGGAAAGGCAGTTTGCACTAGTCACATGATCTCTTTCCCAATCCAAGGCATAATAGTTTAGAGAAAAACAGAGTGGGAGAATGAGCTTTGTTGGATCTTCCCGTAGTTTAGACCCAGCTATTGAAAAGCCCCAACACCCCAGACTCTAGAATGTTACCTTGTGCTAATTCAGACCCAGAGACTCCAGTCTTTGGGTCTTTGCATGAGACTCAGTCTATGGTCCATACCACTGCCCAGTCAGCTATATATAGTATCTCCAAGCTCCTGAGACTCCTTGGTGGACACTCAGACCAGTGCCATGCCTCAGCAGCCCTAGACTTTACACCAGCTGTACCACAAGGGTGAAAAAACACCTCCCAAGCTCTTTCCTACCCCACTGCAAACTCAAATCTAGTTTCCTGGACTTTGGAACTCTCCCACTCCTAGGTTAGCCAAATGAATGGCCTTAGGTCCTCCCTAATGTCAGTACTGGTTACCCTAAACTTCTAGCCTATTTCATTACCAGGCAAGCCACTAAGGAGAAACTTTGGGAATCCCTCCAGGATACAAGCTTCTGCACAACATCAAAATATCCAATTAACAAATCCACCCAGATGGATTCAGTCTCCTTGCCAAACCTTCTCAATGACTCTTGTAGACTATGGCAGACTTTTCACAGCAGATGGACTGACTGTTGGAGGGTCTTACCAGACAAAGCAAATCTACAAAGACTGGAAAAAGTATTTACTTCTTACAATGTGCAAGACTAATACATACCCATAGGATCCAGAACATCCAGGGAAACCAAAGAAACAAAATAAATTACCAATGACTAACCCTACAGAAATGAATGTATGTAAACTGCCTGACAAAGAATTAAAGTATCTGTTTTAAGGAAGTGCAGCAAACTTCAAGAAAATTCAGATAAATAGTTCTGTGAAATATAGAAAATAATAAATGACCACAATGGGAAATTAAAGAGATATTAAAATGATCTTTAAAAATCAAAGGCTGAGGCTAAACAACATAATTAATAAAATGAAAAATGCAACAGAAACCATTAACAGTAGAACTGCTGGAGTGTAAACCAGGTTATTTGAGGTTATAAAATCAGAAGGAGAAAAAAAATGAAAAGGAATGGAGAACACTTACAGGATTTGCAGAAGTTCAAAAAAGAAAAACTTTTAAGTCCACAAATGTAAAGAAAGAGAAAAAGTGCACAATGATTTCAAAAAGTAAATAATAAAATACTCCAAAGTTGGAGAAAGATATAAATGTTCAGGCATAGGAAAGTCAAAAGTATCTAAATATAGTCAATCCAAAAAAAAAAAAATAACTGTAATTAAACAACTGAAAATTTAAATTAAAAAAGAGAGAAATCTCAAAACCATCAAAAGAAAATAAACAAATAATATACAGTAGAGCTTTATTTAGTATTACTAACAGCCATTTTTAACAGCCAGGAAGGAGTGGGACGACACAGTCAAATCCTAAAATAGAAAAGATTCAAATCAGGAGCAATATACCCAGCAAAACTGTCCCAGGAACAAGGAAAACATAAAGATTTCTCAGGCAACAGCTGAGAGAGTTATTACCAACAGGCTTACCTTACAATATTTCCTCAAGATGAAAGCAAAGGACATTAATGTGCAGCACAAAAACATCAAAAAGTATAAAACTTACTGGTAAAATAAATCAGCTTTATAATACTTTAATACTGTAATCATAATATGTAATGTGCTTTTAGTATGAAGATTTAGACACAAACATAAAAAGCATGAGTTACAACCAATTTGTTGAAGTATATGCATGTCTTAGCCAGGGTTACTATTGCTGTGATGAAACAGCATGACCAAAAGCAATTTGGGGAGGAAAGGGTTTATTTGGCTTACTCTTCCACATCACTGTTCATCACTAGAGGAAGTCATGACAGGAACTCAAGCAGGGCAGGAACCTGGAGGCAGGAGCTAATGCCAAGGCCATTGAGGAGTGCTGCTTATTGGCTTGTGCCACATGGCTTGCTCAATCTGCTTTCTTATAGAACCTAGGACCACCAGCCCAGAGACGGCACCACCCATGATGGGCTGGGCCCTCCCCTATCAATCACTGACCAAGAAAATGGCCTACAGGCTTGCATAAAAGCTCAATCTTATAGAGGCATTTTCTCAATTGAGGCTCCCTCCTCTCTGAAGACTCTAGCTTGTGTCAAGTTGACATAAAACTAGCCAGAAGAAATGACCCCTTGTCAACTTGACACATAAACACATCACTGTTAAGCTACAACCTTTCCTTTCTTGTTCATCCATCCCCAAAGGCACACATTAATATGAACATCAAAATATAAAATATTCCGAGTTCTAAAAGTGCCACAGTTTAAAACAAAATTCAAACACTTTAATTTGGTCTATTTAAAAATCTGAAGTCTCTTTTAAAATTTTAAATCTCTTTTTAAATTCAGTCTCTCAACTGTGAATGCCTATAAAATCAAAATATAAATACTTTCCTACTTCAAGAGGGAAGAACCAGGGCACAGTCACAATCAGATCAAAGAAAAAACAAACCCCAACTGTAAATGACTCAGTGTCTAATGTCTGGGATCCACTCATAATCTTCTGGGCTCCTCCAAAGGACTTGGGTCACTTCTCCGGCTCCACCCTCTGCAGCACAAACAGCTTGTCTTCTAAGCTCCACCAGGCTCCACTCCACTGCTGTTGCTGTTCTTGATGATCATCCCATGGTACTAGCATCTCCAAAATGCTGGGGTCTTCTGCTGTAACTGGGCTGCACTTTCACCAATAGCCTCTCCTGAGCTCTCTTCATAGAGCCAAACCTCAACTTCTCTGCATGGCCCCTTAGTCCTCGGCCTTCAACTGCTACTGAGGCTTCACCTTCACCAATAGCTTCACCAATAGATTTTTATAGTGCCCAGCCTCAGCTGCTGTCCATGATCCCTTCATATCTTCAAAACCAGTACCACCTAGATGACTCTTACACTACCAAGTTCAGCTACTAGCACAAGGTACAACCTTGACTGTCTTTGGGACACAGCTTCTGTGTGCTGACCCTGAAAAAACACCTCCCAGAAGATTTAACCTCAGTGATGCTGGTCTCTTCTTAATCACCACTAATTTCTTAGGTCCAATAGCCATCATCAATTGTCCCAGTAACCCAAAGGTTTCACAACTGACCCTTCAGTTCCAAATGATCAGACACGACGGAGTCTTCACACATATGGTCCAGTAGAGTCTTTGCTTCCCTCTGAAACCTTACAAGCCAGGCCTTTAATGTCTACACTACTCTCAACATTCTTATCTTCTAAGCTCCTATGAGGGGATTTATTAGAATGGCTTACAGGCTGCAGTCAAGCTAGTCCAACAATGACTGCCTACCAATGCAAAGTCCAAGAATCCAGTAGTTATTCAGTCCACAGGGCTGGATGTCTCTGCTGGTCTTCTATATATACCAGAATCTCAAAGAAGTAGTCTCTAATGCCAGTGAAGGAATGGACTTGCTAGAGAGACTGACAGCAAGCAGACAAAGAGATAACTTCTTTCATGTCCTTTATATAGGCTGCCAGCCTAAAGTGTGGCCCAGATTAGAGGTGGATCTTCCAAGAACTTTAAGTCTGTGAAGAAAGAAATTGAAGAAATCAGAAAATGGAAAGATCTCCCATGTTCATGGATATGTAGGATTAACATAGTAAAAATAGCCATCTTACCAAAAGCAATCTACATTTCAATGCAATCCCCATCAAAATCCCAACACAATTCTTCACAGACCTCAAAAAAACAATATTTAACTTCATATGGAAAAAAAACTCAGGATAGCTAAAACAGTCCTGTACAATAAAGGAGCTTCCAGAGGTATCATTATCCCTGAATTCAGCCTCTACTATAGAACTATAATAATAAAAACAGCTTGGTATTGGCATAAAAACAGACATGTGGATCAATGGAACTGAATTGAAGACCCTGACATAAATCCACACATCTATGAACACCTGATTTTTGACACAGAAGCTAAAATTATACAATGGAAAAAAGAAGGCATCTTGAACAGATAGATGGTGTTGGCATAACTGGATGGCAGCATGCAGAAGATTGCAAATAGATTCATATCTATTGCTCTGCACAAAACTCAAGTCCAAGTGGATCAAAGACCTCAACATAAATCTAGTTGCACTGAACCTGATAGAAAAGAAAGTGGGAACTAGGCTTGAATGCATTGGCACAGGAGACTACTTCCTGAATATAACACCAGTAGCACAGACACTGAGATCAACGATTAATAAATGGACCTCCTGAAACTGAAAAGTTTCTGTAAGGCAAAGGACAGTGTGAATAAGACAACACAACAGCCCACAGAATGGAAAAAGATCTTCACCAACCCCACATCTGACAAAGGGTATTCTCCAAAATATACAGAACTGAAGAAAATAGACATCAAAATACCAAATAATCCAATTTAAAATGGGCTACAGATCTAAATAGAGAATTCTCAACAGAAGAATCTCAAATTGCCAAAATACATTTAAAGAATAGTTCAAAATCCTTAATCATCAGGGAAATGCAAATCAAAATGAATCTGAGATACCATCTTACACCTGTCAGAATGGCTAAGATCAAAAACACTGATGACAGCTTATGTTGGAGAAGATGTGGAGTAAGGGGAACACTCCTCCATTGCTGGTGGGAGTGCAAACTTGTACAGCCACTGTGGAAATTGATATGGTAGTTTCTCAAAAAAAAATGGGAAGCAATCTACCTCAAGACCCAGATATACCACTTTTGGGCATATACCCAAAGGATATTCAATCATACTGCAAGGACACTTGCTCAACTCTGTTCATAGCAGCATTATTCATAATATCCAGAACCTGGAAACAAGCTAGATGCCCCTCAACCAAAGAATGGATAAGGAGAATGTGGTACATTTATTTACACAATGAAGTATCACTCAACTGTAAAAAAAAAAAAAAAAAAAAAAAAAATGACCTCATGAAATTTGCAGGCAAATGGATGGAACTAGAAAAAAAAGCATTCTGAGTGAGGTAACCCAGACCCAAAAAGACAAACATGGCAGGTACTCACTCATAAGTGGATATTAGGAGTAAAGTACGGGATAACCAACCTACAATCCACAGCCCCAGAGAGACTAGATAACAAAGAGGTCCCAAAGAGGGAAGCATGGTTTTCCCTAAGAGGGGGAAACAGAAGAGATCTCCTGGGTAAACTGGGGACAAGGGTAGGGGGATGGGGGATGGGAACTTGAGGTAGCAGGTTGGGGGCAGGACTGAGGGGGGGAGTAAGAAAGATGGGGGTGGGCATTTTGGGGTTAGGGAGAAACCTGGTGACAAGGAAATTCCCAGGAATCCACAAGGACCCCAGCTAAGACTCCTAGCAATAGTGGAAAGGGTGCCTGAATTGGCCATCTACTGTAATCAGATTGGTGATTACCCTAATTGTCATCAGAGAGCCTTTATCCAGTAACTGATAGAAGCAGATGCAGAAATCCACAGCCAAGCACTGGGCCAAGCTCTGGGAGTCCTCCTGAAGAAAGGGAAGAGGGATGGTATGAGCCAGAGGGGTCAAGGTCGTGATGGAGGAACCCACAGAGACTGCTGACCTAAGCTCCTAGGAGCACATGGACACTGGACCAACAGTTAGGGAGCCTGCATGGGACCAAGCTAGGCCCTCTGCGAGTGTGTTACAGTTGTGTAGCTTGGTCTGTTTGTAAGGCTCCTAGCAGTGAGATCAGGATCTGTCCCTGATGCTTAGCTGGCTTTTGGAAACCTGTTCTCCATACTGGATTACCTTGCCCAGACTTTATGCAGGGGGAAGAGCTCAGTCCTACCTCAACTTGATGTGCCATGCTTTGTTCAAGCCTGTGGAAGACCTGCCCCTTTCTGAATGGAGATGGAGGAGGAGTGGATGGGGAGTGGGGTAGATGGGAAGGGGGTGAACAGGAGGAGAGGAAAGAGGGAAAAGTGTGGTCAGTATGCAAAATAAATGAAAAAAATGTTAATTAAATAAAATAAAAAATTTAAATTATTTAATTAAAAAGGTAGACCTTCCCACCTTAAAAGATCTGGATTAAAGATATTTCTTCCCACCTCAAAGATCCAGATTAGAACTAATAAAAATTACTTACTTACTATTATATATAAAAATAATGATATATAAATATATATAACAATATATTTATATATTTCATGTACTAATATATAAAATATGTTTATAATTATACTCTATTAAATTATATTTTATTATATGCATTTATATAATAAATGTATGATTATATAATTATATAATTACAATATATAAAATATTTATTATGTATAATAATAAATCCCAGTTCAAATGAGTTAAGAAAAAATCTCTCATGTGTGCCCAGCCATTCAGGTTTTAATTAATTCCAGATATAATCAAGCTGACCACCAAGAATCACAATGCAATATAAATCATAACATCAGAACCACGATAATGTGTATTCGGGGTTACAGTATTATAACAACAAAGTTATCAGCTAGCATAGTGTAGATCATGCCTATAATCCCAGACCTCAAGAGGAATTACCTTGAGTTTGAGGCTATCCTTGGCTCCCTAGTGAGTTCTAGATCAGTTTGAACTACAGACTAAGAATCTGCCTTTTTACAAAGTTGCCATCTTAAAATAACTGGTGATGGAATGGGAAGTGCTTGCACTTCATCCAGCCCTGGAAGAAGAGCAACAAGGCTAAGAAGGAAAGAGTTGAAAGGCAATCTGAAATTCAGTACCAATGCTGATCCCCACTCTGTCAAGAGGGGACTCTGAGATCAAATGACAATTAGCAGCAAGACACTAACGACTACTGTAAAAGAGATGATCCATCACGTAATCCAGCAATCAGGCTGGGACACATTAACAATATGGTTGTTGTGAGCTCTTCAAAGGAAGAGGCTTATGGCAATAAAAGTAACCAAAAAAATATAGTGAGATGGCACTAGATGAAATCCAGTTGCAGAAATTAGCTCAGAGGTTCAGGCCCAGATGTTCCACATAGAGAAATGGCTGTCTGTTACTAGATTACTTTAAAATACCAAGTGTTGATGGAATGTTGCTTTACTATCTCTGTGATAAAACACCATAGCCAGGGCAACTTATAAAAGAGAGCCTTTAATTGGGTTTACAGTTTCAGAGAATGAGAGTCCATGCTGGCTGAGGAAAGGCGTGGTGACAGGAACAGCCAAGAACTTACATCTTGCACCACAAGCAAGAGCCAGAGAGGGCTAACTCAAAATGGCACAAGTCTTATGAAATCTCAGAGCCCACCCCAATGATAAATTTCCTCCAGCGAGTACTTGCCTCCTAATCCTCTCCAAACAGTCACCAACTGGGGACCAAGTATTAAAATGCCTGAGACTTATGATGGACATTTCATTCAAATACCACATTACACTCCCTAGTCTGTATAATCCCCATTGTCATATGATAAGACAAAATACCATTTGTCCAATTTCCAATTTCCATAGTCTCTCACAGTCTCAATGCTGTTTAAAAGTCCAAAATCTCTTCTAAGACTCAAATTAATCTCTTAATTGTAAACACCTTTAAAATCAAAAGACAATTGGGTAATTCCAACAAACAGTGCCAAAGAATATTCATTACCATTCCAAAGGAAGGAATCAGGTCACAGTGAGGAAATGCTGGGGCAGAGCAAAACCAAAACCCAGCAAGGAAAACTCCAAATCCTGTAGCTCCATGTCAAAGGGCATAACTGGCACTGTCCTTTCAGCTTTTCTGTCTGCAAAAATACATCTGAGCTCTCTGAGGCTAGTTCCACTACCTGTATGCAGCTCCCCTTGGCAGATGCCTCATGGCTCTTGTACCGCTAACATCTTAGAGTTTTATTTCAATACAGGTTATATCTTCAAAGTGTCACACAATGCCCTCTCAGGGCCTCTTGTCTTCTCAGGACCTTCAGGCAGGAACTGCCCTGCCACCCACTGCCTGGCCTCAGTGAATGTCCTTAACCATGAGAGAAGATTCCACAGTCCCTTTACTTGATTATTTTTCATTCACTCCATGTGAATAACACTGCCAAGTCAGGCTGCTCACTTGGGATGAATGCTGGCCACTTGAAACACATTTGCAGTAGCTTTTATTAATTTCTTAGGCCTTTTCCTTTCAAAGGTCTGAAGACTAGCTGGGTGGATCTTGCTTGGGGGCACCCTTCCCATTATCCCAAAGTAGATTTGGCTTCTCTTTAATGGCTCCAATCTTCTTAATAATTATAACCTCTCTTCCAATACAAGCTTTTATGTAACATTAAGCTTGCCGATGTCCTTTTCCTTTCCAAACTGGACATTATGTGTTTCTTTCTGCCCCATTTGCTGTTTTTCATTGTAGACCTGCATAAGAGTGACTACCAATAATCACATGATAGAGTCAATATTAGGCTGTCTTGAAATCTCCTTTGTCAAAGAAATCAGTCCATTACTTTTAAAATTACTTCTTTTATTTTTGAGATTACTATAAAATTACATTATTTCCCCCTTCCTTTTCCTCCCTCCAAACCCTCCAATATACCCTTCCTTGCTCTTTCAAATTCATAGCCTTTTTCATTAATTATTGCTATATGCATATA